AATATATACTGAAAGGAGAAAATTAAACCTAAAATTATTCTCAAACTCCCTAAAATCCTTTAAAAATGTCATTTTCTAAAAAATGTCCATTAAAAAAAGTTGTAGTATTTCAAAAGTTTTACAAAATAAACAAATTTTCACAATATAAGATAGAACACAAAAGGTAAAAAATGTCATTTTCTAAAAAATGTCCATTAAAAAAAGTTGTAGTATTTCAAAAAGTTTTACAAAATAAACAAATTTTCACAATATAAGATAGAACACAAAAGGTATGCAGCTGGTTGGACATAAGGTGTTGGGTTCCTGGTTTACTTGATGGAATAAGCAGCAAATGAATCCTATTGCCAAAAGAATTGACAGAGTATTCGTAAATGAGGCTTGGTTGTATGTCTTTCCTTCTAGTACAGTACATACTTCACCTCCAGGGGTCTCAGATCATTGTGGATTAGTTCTTCAGCCTTATCCAAAGTTAGCATCACTCGCTAAACCTTTCAAGTATTTCAAGTTCTGGAGCTCTCATCCAGGCTATCTGGACATGGTTACTGAAGCTTGGAGTACTTTAAAGAGTGGTTACCCACATTATATATTTTATGGGAAGTTGCAAGAGGTGAAAACCATACTTAAAAAGCTAAATAAGAAAGTTTTCTGGAATATCTCAGGTCAGGCAAGAGAGCTCGTACAAACTGAGGTGCTACTACATCCTCATTCGGATAATGTTGAGGCAGAGGCTACTTTGGCTAAGCAGTGTCATGAAATTCAAAAAGCATAAAAGCTATTTTATAAGCAAAAGTCTCGTGCCCAGTGGGTTCAAACAGGGGGCATGAATACTCCTTTCTTTCATAAACCATTGCGGGTCAGAACTCATAAGCAGCAGATCACAACTCTGAAAGATGATAATGGAGCTGATGTAACAGAAATGTCTCAAATGGGGAAGGTTGCTGTGGATTTTTACACTCAGTTGATTGGAGAGGTGGATCTTAATGTTCAGGGGGCTTTAGTGGAATTCTATGAATCTATCTTATCCAATAAGGCTACTGATGGTGATAATGTAATGCTTAATAGAGATATTACTGAGGATGAGATTTATCAGGTCTTTAAACAGCTGGGTAGGGACAAAGCCCCTGGGCCATATGGGTTCCAATCGAATTCTATCTGCTTCACTGGGATTTGATTAAAGCTGATGTGTTTGCTATTGTCTCACAGTTCTATCAGACTGAGCGTATGCCTAGAAAAATCAATGCTACTGTGTTAACCTTAGTAGCCAAGGTGCAGAATGTTGTTCATATGAAGGATTTTCGACCGATCTCGTGTTGTAATACACTATACAAAGGAATTGCTAAAATTCTAGCTAATCGATTGGTTGTTGTTCTCCCTTCCCTGGTAAGTCACTCGCAATCTGCTTTTATTTAAGGAAGGTCTATAACGGATAATATCCTCCTTGCTTCTGAACTAGTTAAGGGCTATCAATCTAAATAAATTAGTTCACGTTGTGTGATTAAAATTGATTTAATGAAAGCTTTTGACTCTGTCAATTGGGATTTTCTGTTTGCTGTCTTGGTTGCTATGGGACTTAAAGGGAAGTTTCTTAATTTGCTTCGGGCCTGTGTTTGCACCCCCATGGTCAGTGTATCTCTTAATGGTGGATTGTGTGGTTTCTTTGGAATGAAGACAGGGGTAAAAGGCAGGGTGGCCCTCTGTCCCCCTATTTGTTTACAATTGCTATGGAAGTTTTAGATGGGTTAATTAAGAAGGCTGCACTAGAGAATCAAATCCCTTATCACCCCATTGTAAAACCCTAGCTATAACTCATCTATATTTTGCTGATGATTTATTAGTGTTTACAAACGGGTCAATTAGGGGTGTAGCGTGTGTTAGAAGAATGTTCGATGAATTTTATAGATTATCTGGCCTTCGTTGCAATCCTGCAAAATGTCAGCTATTCTGTGCAGGAATCTCGGAAGAAGAAAAGCATTCTATATATGTTTATTCTGGTTTCCCTCTTGGGCAGCTCTCAGTAAAATACTTGGGGGTTCCTTTGATTACCATTAAACTTTCAAGGAGGGACTGTCGTGTCTTGGTGGATAAAATCACCCATAGAGTTTAGAGTTGGAGGGCTAAGCTGTTGAGCTTTGTAGGTAGGGTCCAGCTTATAAGTTCGGTGCTGTCAAGCATATTACAGTATTGGATGAACATTTCCTTGCTCCCTAAGTATGTCATCACAGAGGTAGAGAGGATTTGTAATCAGTTCCTTTGGGATATTTCAGATACTAGTATGAGAACAAGGGCTCTGGTTGCTTGGCAGTATGTTGCTCGTCCAAAAAGGGAAGGATGTCTTGGCATTAGAAACTTCGTGATTTGGAATAAGGCTTGCGTGATTCGGCATGTTTGGAGTGTCCTTATATCTAGTGGTTCACTATGGGTTGCATGGATTCTTCGTTATTGTGTTAAACATATGTCTTTTTGGGATTTGAAGGTAGGAGCTGCTGGCTCCTGGATTTAGCGACGTCTCTTGAAGTGTCGAACTGAAATCCAACACCTTGTGTCTGGCCAGGGGAGTTCTTTGCTCTGGGATGGGAAGCCTATGTCACGGTACTCTGTCAAAAGAGTATGTGAAGCTATTAGGCCTCACTCTCCAACTATTGGGTGGAATGAATTATTTTGGAGTAAAGAAGTGGTACCACGGCATGGCTTTATCCTTTGGCTTGCTGTTCTGGGCAGACTGCCTACCCAGGATATTGATGGCTTGGGGTAAGTCTGTTACAGGGTACTGTGTGTTATGTTCGAGAGGGATTGAGAAGCCTGCCCCTTTATCAAGTTTGTTGTTAGTAAGTGTCTATCTTCCCTTGCTCCTGTTGATGGTTTACGATCATGGGAGGAAGTGATTGAGTGGTGTGTCAGCAACTGGAAGGGTAAATGTGTTGAAGCAGTTGCTTGTAGAGCGTTCTGGAGTCTTGTCGTTAGTCTGCTTTGGCGGGAACGGTGTGCGAGATTGTTGGGGTAAAGGTTGTTAAGCCCCCTGGGGTTATTTGTAGTAAGATTTGCAGAGTGTAGGTATGACGAGCAGAAGTTGATTTGGAGCTGCAGAAGAGTCTTCATGCGAACAGATTGGATTAGTTTCTTTTTTTGTTGATTCTGATTTCGTGAACAGTTGTATTGTTTGGGAGGCACTCTAAAAGGGGTTTTCCTTTTGAGTTGCTTGTGCTTAATGAAATTTTTGATTAACCATACAAAAATAGAGCACAAAATTGCACTCGTCCAAAGTTTAGCAAAATCACGAAAACCCATTAGAAACAACAAACCCCCTTATTTTAAGACAAATTTGGATCAAACCACCTTCGATCATTTGCGCTGCATAGATCTTAAAGAATTATGTGCTCAAATATTCATGTTATTATATGTTTTGTATTTTGTTGTCCGGCCATGTCCTGTAGACTTATCTTGGTTAAAAAAATGAACTGGACCCAAAATAAGGATGTAAAAAAGGCAACACTTGTCCTCCTTCACTTCCTCTAAATATTAATTATTAAACTAACAAGAAAATCGATTCGATTAATATTCAAAGGCCAAAGTCCGGTAAATAAAGAAACGACTAAATTACACGATTGGTCACTCGAATTACATATATCTTTCACATTTGCCACTCGAATTACTTTTCTTTCTTATTACCCACTAACTTTACGATTCGTTTCACCCGCCGTTAGTCTCCATTAACACCGTTAAATTTTTGATGGTGTGGCAAATGAAACTACTGATTGGTGTTGTCAGTGCACCCACTTTTTTGGTGCATTCAATGCACTCGCTTCATAATCGTCATTCCGAGCATGCAATTCATGTCAAAACGCAAAACGGTATCAATCGTCGCTTATGATGTTATGAACAAGAAACGCATGAATTTGCAAAAAAAAATTCAATATTTACTTTAATTTGAAGGATTTATGATATAGGGTTAGGGTTTATAATTTAGGATTTTGGATTGGGATTCAAAATTGCAGGTTAAGGGGTCAGGTTAATAGATTGATTAGTTGTGATTTTATTTTATATCATCATATTAGACTAATACTATCAATTAAAGTTCAAAATTCGATTTATTACAAAAGTAGCTACCTATATATATAAGTCCAGCCAGACGATGCACCTCCGGCCAATGAGGATCACCAGCATCGTCTCCTTCTCAGCAGGAGGGAGAGACTTGCGAAGATGGAGGTGGAGATCTTGACGCGGTGGAAGATGGAAGGCGTCCGAGGCGAGCTGGATGGAGGAGAAACCCTAGTTGGCGATTTCAACCAATCTAGCCACATGAGAGAGTCTTGCAGAGAATTCCACAAAGAGGGATTCGGAAGAATTTTCTTCATTGGTGTTTGGTTTGGGAGAGGGAGAGAAGGACACATTCCATCTTCCACCGCTCCTCCGTCCATCTCGCCCCGGACGCCTTCCATCTTTTATCGCGTCCGGATCTCCACCTCTGTCCTCCCGCTCTCCCGCAACTGAAGGATGCTCGGCAGCAGGATCGTGTCATCCTCTACTTCACCAGCCTCTGCATTGTGCAGCAGACGTTCGAGGACTGCTACACCGTCAAATCGATCCTCCACAGGTTCTGAGTATGGATCGACGAGCGAGATTTGTCGATGGACGGGAAATACCTCGGCGAGGTGTAGGAGATCCTGGGAACCACCGGGAAGGTGACACTGCCGGCGATCCTCATCGGCGGGAGTTGCATCGACGGGTTGGACGAGATTCGAGGGCTCCACGGAAGTGGAGAGTTGAAGAAGATCGTCGGAGGGTTACTGCCTCCGCCGACATATTTTTTTAATATATACAACTATTTTTCTATGATTTTATGAAATGATATCTAATATATATTTTTTTTTAATTTTAAATTGACATATCACTAAGTTAAACGGTCTAGTCAGCAGTTTTGTTTGCCACATGATAAAAAATCTAACGATGTTAATGTAGACTGATGATTGGTAATTCGGATGACAAATGTGAAAAATATATGTAATTCGAATAATCAATTGTGTAATTTAGCCGAAAAGAAACTCTCACGTTCCTGACCAGCAAGTCATTTAAGTCAACGAAACGAGGATATAAGGCAAAATGAAATCATCTACCATTGATTCCCGTGTAAACTTTAAAGGTCTACGGTAATCAAATAGGTACCCCCTGCTTCGTGCAAGCTATATGCGGAGAGTCAAATTGCACCAACTTATACAGCCATTCCCATTCCATCAAATCTCGATTATTCTCAAGGCTATATATAAACAAATACCTAACCAAAGGTTTTGTTATATGGTGTGATGACAATAATCGACTGTCATTAAAATGCTCCAAACACCAAAAGAAGAGAAACAAGGAAAAAAGACTAGAATTCTCAAGTTCTAATTACCGGACCTTTGTATAGACCTCTCCTTATCACAAAGTTATCAGGTGGTTGGAACTCTTCCAGCCATGTAACGTCTGAAACTGTCACTCCATCCAATTCAAGCTCACCTTCATTCGCATAAATAAGAGAACGATAAGTTCTGGAAAAAGTCAATGGAGCTACAAAACTTTTTGCCTCAAGAAAATCAATGCGGAGGAACTTCTTTTACCAGGTAGATCCCTTATTGGTGACGTCCGAAAATAAGTGCAGTGCCTTCCATGATCTGAAGAGTAAGGTGGAGATAGAATATCAAAGATTGCACATGGGGTTACAGCCCTGAAACAGTGGATGTTGCCTCCAGTGGTAGGATAAAGAACTGTTGAGTTACACGGTGCATTCATCTCATCATCTCTAACGAGCTTGGCAGGCCTTGCTGAAGTAGGAAGGCAATAAACATCAGATACATAACCAAGTAAAAGAAAGCTAATGATAAGATAAATAGGATGCATTTCTTCCTTGCCAAGGACCTCTGAATCCTCTCGCTACCAGTTCATGATGTTTCTTCCATCAACTGTTTAATTTGATGCATACACACCTTGCGCCGTGTCAACAGGCTCGGATGAATCAAGCCAATCATATGACTTCACATGCATTGTTCCATATATAAGCTTGCTTAGCACTGTCATTCCAGGATGATTATGAAGAGGTATGATTGAAGTCGGTGGCATGCAGAAAATTCCAATCTGCAGAAGTGGCAGATATAGGTGCTTCAAGAGTGCAATTATCAGTTCGTTGGAAGTAAAGACATTCAGTTTCCATTGAATTATCCTCAAGGCGAATAATGTCTAAAAGGATCACAATCAGGCTGCAGGTGTGCAATCCCACTCTCAATGTAAACGCATGCTTCACAAATTAGCTCGAAACTGCAATGAACAAGGAATGACCGGAAGTTATTAGGTGCTTACAGAGAAGCTGTCACACTCATGCAGATGGAGGTACTTGATTGGTGGCAGTGTAGGACGCCGCCAATTGCGTTCTTGCAAAGGTGCTGACCAATTGCGTACTAATTGTGCCTCTTGCTCAAGACCTACATCAGAGGGTTTCATTTTCTCTGCAATAAAAAAACTAGTATGTAATGTTACCAAAAAATTTCAGGAAAGATAAACAGGAATATCACATGAATAAACCATAAGGAGTTTAAGTAGTAGAACACCCAAGTCAAGTTCTGCATATGAGGAAAGAATATCACCAAATTATTAGGAAAAAGCTCAAGGCATTGTGGAAAGAGCTACAAACTAACATACAACCAGATGGAAGAATATTCATTAAAAACATATGCTAAAGTCAATGAAATCCCTTCCAGCGGCATCCATTTATGTTCCATAATTTAAGAAGTTCCAAGGATAACCATAAGTTTAGTATTTGCCGATCCTTATTCACATGTTCCTGTTTATGTTCTATCAATAACGAATTAACCTGTGCCACAACTGCTTCAAGCTGAGCAAATGTAATTATGATAGAAGGGAATCATGGATTTCAATAGAAATAGAAACTGGTTAAGAACCCAATATAACTGATCACAAGTAAGCAAATATTATTCAGTAATAGAACAAAAATAATATCCAATAAGGAAAAAGTTATAACCAAGAGAGCTTATTATACACAAAAAACAAACCATAGAACAAAACAAAAGAAAGAAGAATAATAAAGAATAATAGTAGATGGAGTCCAAGGTCAGACACGTAATAGATAATAACATACATACAGTATAAAAAGTGCAGAACCATTTTAAGATTCACTTACACGGGAGACAGAGTTCCAAACAATGGTCAATGAGGCATAGTGACAATCAACATTTTAAAGGACCTTTATGGGGTAAGAGACGAATGAATCATCCATTAAAGTTGGTGAAACTATTCACATATTGGTGCTCCTTATTTTTAACAAAAAACACAATCACTTATTCTGTTTCTGAACCCAACCCCTTAATCAACCCGACCTACATACACCCTTCGATGATGTCATCATAGAGTCAGAAGTGTAGTTTAAAGAGAATAAACCTAAATCTGACTACATCAGTTAAAAGAGGAATTCCCTTCTCAAATACAGGTAAAACTAGATGTAGGTTTCCAGACTATTCTTAACCAGCCACAATCTGAGCATGTAAGACTAAAGTGAATAGAACAAGCCGTAGCATAAGAAGTCTATCAAACAGCTTCAATCTCAGATAATATAACTTCAACCCAAGAGAAGGTAGAGGACCAGAATGTACATATAGAAGAGCACATAGAATAGTAGTTGTCATTTGTCTGGTGGCCATTGAAATTAACCTTGATAACTAAAGGAGCTAGAATACCCCACCATGGAGGGGATGAGTCTAGAAAACCTTTTTTAGTATCAAGGGACAAATGTCTGGAAATAAAATAAAAACTATGATTTTAACCAAGGGTCATCAACATAAAAGCAGAAAAAAAATGTTGAAGGGTTGGCTTATCTGGAGCATGGATTGGAGGTCTTAGAAGATCGATTATCAAACAACATTTAGCAAGAGAACATGATAAGTCCCCAAGTTTCATTGATGTTCCAACATGAGTTAGTTCAGCTGAAGCCTGAGCCTTTCCGCGCCACTCAAGGACCAAGCAATTGTAGCTAAGAACATCAATGTGTAACAGGCATGATTTCTCACAAACAATCATTCATTCATTCCAATCCATGCCACATCATTCGAATGTAAGATATAATATATGAAGTAACATATGCAGTTGAGGAAACTGAAATCATTCTGATAAACAAAGTACCTAACATATTGCGAACTTTTTGAAGTGCTTCTTCTGATGCTGGGCCATTAGGTGAGAATGACGCGTTGCAGGTATTGTAGAGCCTTTGTATATAGTATGGCATGATAAACGAAAGCCCTTTAATCAATGCCTCAACTTTGGGAAGCTGTTTGCGACTTCTCCAAGAAACTTCTGAAATGGCGATAGAAGACTGTACAGGGAAATGACATTAACTTGTTGCAAGAACTGGGTCCGGGGCAATGAATCCACATGGTAGTTATCTCATCCCTCTGTGCCTAGCTTACTTATTGGATTAACCTGACAATACTACAAACTTAGTTAAAACCCAAATCAAACTGTACCAACTCTACTTCAAAATCCTTCACCGGTGATGTAAAACGTCAGTTTTTTCAGCTCACTATCTACAAAATCGATTCCCGTTTGTTTGCCGTGAAACAGAAACATAAGCAAAGCAGAAAGAGAAGACCAGAAACGCCACAAACTTTCGACATTCAATCCCAAGTAAACTGAACATCAGAACATGTATAAATAAAATTCTCTGAATTCTCGCCCATGAGTTCCATTTGAACGAGAACCCATCTTCGCGAAACAAAAAACCATTGTTTCTATTGCTAAACCCTGGAACAAGGGGAAATTGATGAACAAAGAAACTGAACTGTTGAGTAAAAAAGAAACTCCAGAATAGATTGAATATAGGAAACACCAGGAAATCGAGGCAACATAAATCGGAATCTTAAAGAGCCGATCCAGACAGGCCAGGAGTGTTACCTGAAGAGGAAAGAGAAAAGGACAGAGAAGGATTCAGAGAAAGTAACAAGGAGAATACAGAGGGTCTCGGTTCGCTCGCTCGCCCAGCTCAACGGGTAAAAGCGAGCAAAGGGGATATCATGGGAATTGGGAAATGAGGGAAACATACGAAAGGGAGAAAGAATAGAGCCAAACGCACGGAAGAAGATCTTTGACACGTCAGTAGGTTCCCTCTATTTCGCACCTGCTGGAGGACTTTGGACCAGGGTGAAGGTTGCGAAACAGGTTTATATCATCACTAGATTAGGGCCCGACCTCTTGGTCGGAGAGTTTGATTTTCATGTATACGTGTAGTAAACATTTATGTGTATATTTTTTTATGGTTCATGTTGTTAAGATTGAAGTAACTATTTAATTTGGTAAGTTCTCCATGAATAATATAGGAAAATATTTAATGTATGACAAACAACGTCCAACTACACTAACATAAATACATATTTTCAAACAAAGTCATAGAGTTCTACGGTACTCCGGGTGAAATCCGGGGTACCGCATACCTTAAGTAAGAAAACGCTATCTAGAACTTGAATTGACTGATCTTTCGGACATTATACTATACTCTAACCCATAAAGATCAAAATCTAGGTCTTAATTCTCTAAATCTTATACCCCAAGATCAATTTAATTAGAAACAATAATCGACGGTTATGATTCGTCCAAATATAGGCAAAAAAAGTAATGCAGCATCTTAGGGTTTATAGGTAATGATTAAGATAATTAGGACCCAGGGTTCACTCATTAAGGGTTAGGGTATAGTATCATGCCCAAAAATCCTGCTAATTCGAGGTCTAGATAGTGTTTTTATACTCAAGGTATGCGGTACCCCGGATTTCACCCGGGGTACTGTAGAAGGCACCATATATATATATATATATATATATATATATATAAATGTCTAAGAAGAACAATGATAAGAGTTGTTTTACATCATACATGCATAATCAATCTTCAGTATACGATAAAAAATTTTTTTTGCCTTTTCCATTTACTTTAGTGTATTCAATGATATATAGTGAAACAAAGTATATGTTTAGAGTGTCCTTAAAAAGAAACAAACTCACTCACATAGTCATGGTTCGAGTGGCATTTCATATAGAAAGTTAAATCAAACCGAAAAGAAGGCAAAAACTAAAAGCAGCATACCTAACATTTTGGGGGAAATCCACAATAATAAAAGTCATTGTAGCTCTTACTGAAGTTAGAAAGACTTTGATTTAATGGTATGTAAACAATGATATGTAGTTTCATCTTAATATGCATCTTAGTTTCATAGTTTTTACATCATTAAAAATTTATGTGTTGAATAGAAACTCATCCATGTTTGGAGCCATTGTAAAATGTAAGTTATGAGGCAAATGAGAAGTCTCAAGCATCCACATGCTTGAAAAAATAAATCTATATTATCGAAGATAAAATCATATATTGCATAAGAAAAAGAATACTAAATTAAACTCAATGTAAAAGTAACGATGAAAATAGATATTATATCCACCTAAGAAATAATAAAGTAAGTCATTTTTCTTAGAGACCTCTCTCGATAGAACCACTCTATTATAAAACTCATTTCGTCAAACAATTGTATCATATAGAGTTTTAACTTAAATTGAAATGCTGATAATTAGCTATTTCAGCTCATGAATTAATTAATTATATCATTTGGTAAAAGAAAATAATTTATAAACTTGAGAGTTATTTAGTTTGTTGTTAAATCATTTGAACTAAAGTATGAAAGTGCTTTACAACTGTTATTTTATTCATTATTATTAAAAATTGCTATTTTTATTATATTGTCTACGCATGTCTAGGCGAGTTAGGAGATAGACAAATGTCCAATGACCGCGTTACGCCTAACGTGCTGCTGAACCTCGATAATTATAGCAAACTTTGAGAGCATCTTATAAATTTGATCACTTCCATTTTGGTAAAATTGATTACATCATGAAAGCGATCAATCAAAGAGTCTTTCTATACGATTTTGATAAGATGTCCCCCTACTGCACAATTAGTATGACTAAATCGTAATAAGATAATCATGTATTGAATTTTGAATCGATATCGCAAAAGATTGTACTAACTCAAGTAGAGTTTTAGCTACTCAGTACTTCATATTCGCATGTAGATAGCTACTTCAAAGAATTCGAATGTTGATTGAGTTTGTTGAACTTTAAATAACAAAACTATGATATCAATCGCAAGATATGATGCTTTTTGGAGAAATTGGGAGAATATGTTGGTGACATTAAACTTAACATGGATACCATTGGATTTAAGTGATAAGCAACATTTATGGTCAATAGATTAGACATGAGAAATATATTTAGCATTCCCATAAGTTGGTAGGAAGTAGTGAATAATTAGGAATTGAAAGCTAGAAACAAAGTTGATTTAATAAATAACTGCAAATGATAATGTGTAAAAGAATTAGAGCATAGCTAGGCATGAGAGTGCTTCATTAAACCCTCAAAGAGAAAGCAAGTAACCATTAATAGTTAGTTGTGGATATTAAAATAGTTAACTATGATGAATACTATATACTGGTGATTAATACTTGGAACTTAGCTTGAACATTGCATCATGATGATAAAAATTATTTCATTAATTACATTATTGAAATAAGGGGTCGTATGTAAGTCTTGATTGTTTTTGTGAGATTGTTAATAAATACATTTTTCATGATATAATACATATGTTTTTATTTTTTTCATACACCATCGTGAATTATTTGCTTGATTTAACTAAACTATCACTCAGATTGAATGATTAAACAATTTTGAATTTTAGCATAGACTGTCGAGATAATTGGTATCGGTGTTTGTCATGATTATTTTTCTTGAAATGTATGGTACCACTGTTCTTATGTCGTCATTGAACACTTCATCAACACTTCAATTCAATGCGCAATATTCTAACCAATGATATTTGTGTTGAGATTTTAAAATTATCCTTCATTTATAAATTAGGTAGACGAAAATTGATTGTGTAGACGAAAAAATGATTGTGTAGACGAAAATACCCTTCCTACTTGTATTGATATCTTTTTATATGAAATAAAAAATTGATTGTGTAGACGAAAAATACCCTTCCTACTTTCACTCTCGTTGCATGAAATTTGAAATGGAGCAAATCAAACTCTTTAAAATGTACTAGCTTATTACCCGGCCCGTTGGCCGGATTACTGTATGTTACCCACTTGTGGAATGGGAGAGAAAGCAAGTGAGAGTGATACCCTTCCTACTTGCATTGATATTTTTTTATATGAAATAAAAAATTGATTGTGTAGACGAAAATACCCTTCCTACTTTCACTCTCGTTGCATGAAATTTGAAATGAAGCAAATCAAACTCTTTAAAATGTACTAGCTTATTACCCAACCCGTTGGCCGGATTACTGTATGTTACCCACTTGTGGAATGGGAGAGAAAGCAAGTGAGAGTGAAGGGATTGGGATTCCACTTGATTAGGACCGACCCACAAATCCGATTCTTCCCGACCCGACCCAACCTAAAGGGTCAGAAAGAGTCAATAATAAAATACGAACGGAGAGGATTAGTCATATATATTGACTCTTCAAAAGTGGGTCAAACAGGATCAAGGTTGGGTGAGGACAATTTTTAGCGCTAAGCAGAGTTATGGGTTGAATAACTTTACTTAGGCCTAGAAATTGGTGCTGATGCAGACTGAAGTTTTTATTATACTACATCAATCATCATTGAATTAGTCCTGGGCATCCATCCCCGTTGTCGGTCTGAATTCTAATGATGGCTTCATTCCTTGCACCAGCCATATAAGCGAGTTGTCATCTCGAGCATGATTTGCCTATGTACAAATGATACAATTAGAGTATGAAACTGAATTCAAAGAAAAGGAAAAGAGAATTCTATCACATGCCAATAAATACACACATAATAGTTGAAGCTAAGTGAAAGTCATTACTCGCACATCAATTCTCAAAAATTACAGACCAAACAATGGCTAGAATGGCACTGAAACTACCAAGAATCATGGACGAAACAACTTGTCAAATTAAATAATCCTTGTACTGAAACTACCTTCTAACTTGAAATAAGACATTATCACAGTTCATAGCTCTCTTCTCACAATGCAGTCAAAATCGGGATTTTGATCGTAAAATCGTAGGATTTTAGGATTTTACTTAGGGATTCCGATCCTGATTTTACTATAAAATCGGTGGACCATAAAATCGTTCAAAATCGGGATTAAAATACGTAAAATCGTACCAAAATCGGGATTTTGATCCTATGTGAACAAAATAGGGAGCTTGAGCCAATTTAAAAGAAGCAAAACTGTTTCGGTGGAAAGGGAAATGACGGGAATCTTCTCATATATTTTTCCTACTAAAAGAACATTTGAAAAGAAGGAAAAAAAACTAATTAGGGTTTGGTCAACCCCTTTCCCTTCTCCTTGTTTAACTCATCGGTAAAACAATTATCAGAATATTGTAAGTGCGTAAGAATTAACATCATTATTAATAAATTATTGAGTTATAGGTATAATATGCCCCTCTACTATGAAGTTTTATCAAACATGCCCTTATATTATTTTTTACATCAAACATGCCCCTGTACTTTATGAAAATGATCAAACATGCCCTTTTGTTTAAATTTTCATCCAAAAATCGTTAACCAAGGTCGAACTTTGGTTTGGGCGGCACAAATGTCTAAAATATCCCTAATAATTTCACTTTAGAATTTTTTTTTGTTCTTTTTTATAGCCAAATAATTCAAATAATTTCACTTTGAAGAGACCCAGGGAAATAAAATGGGAGAAAAAAATGACATTTTCGCTCCCATTTGCCGATGTCGGGTCGTCTAAATCTCGGTTGAACCATGATTGATGATTTTATCAATGGAAATCTTAACAGAAGGGCATGTTTGATAATTTTTTCAAAGTACAGGGGTATGTTTGATGTAAAAAATAGTAGAGGGGCATGTTTGATAAAACGTCATAGTAGAGGGGCATATTATACCTATAACCCTAAATTATTTGATTAATGAATATATTTGTACCAAACCAATGACATTAATTATTTTATTGGATTTCAGTTATTCTTAGTTTTAAATCATGCTTAATAGACGATGTCGCGATACTACTTTGAGTTAAACTACCTAGACACAACATCAAAAACAAGAGCCAAACCCTATGAGCTCTATCCTTTCCT